GATGGAATGCGCCCTAATTGATGGGGATTATTGTGCTAAGTTGACCAATCCGGGTCATGGACCATTTGAAACAGTCCTAAAAGAATCAATCTAATGGTTGATTTGACAAGATACTTCACAATTTCAACCAAAATTTTCAAACCAATTTTTGACCAGTGTTTCATCCAAATGCAAATTTACCTTTGAAAGCCCCAATGTACAATGTCAAGCGAGAGCAACCCTGTTAATGTTACCGCGCAGTCTATAAATCATCTAAGCAACGGCGCGATCATCGTGGCGTGAAGTAGATGATTTACTACGTGGGCTATGCGGCAACTTGTGGACAATAAATTGGTGCGCCTTGGAATTGCTCCCCTGTAGCGGGTTTGCTCAACTGCACGTTACTGTAGGAATCCGCAACAATTGCAGAACGCTGAGTCTGAACGGGTTTCCCTGCTTATTGGGTACATTCCCAAATAACTTGAGCCAATTTGCAGCTAGTGTTTATTGAAGGGGTGCATGTGGTGCAATGTTAAGTGGTGCCAGAACAAGAAAACATTGACTTCCACATCGCCACAAATCACGAACTAGCCGAATCATATTCGAATACAATTATGCTTTCAGATGGAGCAATAATGCATGGCCCTTTTCCCAAAAGGAATTTTAGGCGCGGATGCTTTAACATTTCCTTCTATATGCACGCCTGCCTTTCTTGTGACCGGCATAAGATGATTCTGTGGTGCATTTTTTTGTTTATATTATATATTGCTCCTTTGCTAACTTATTTGTCAATTTATTATTTACTTACTGCAACACGTAGCCAGCGAGATTTTCTAGAGTTCGCACTGGCAGGACGAATAGAGAAAATCCGAATATGTCGAGTACTGTGCAAACGAGCACAGCGTAGAAAAGTTCATGTGGTAGAAACGGAAAAACGCGATCAGCCAAAGAGTGCTGAAAAAGTGCAATTTTATCCCAACGCAGAATAAAGAACAAAGTCTGATGAACAAAATCAAAAAATTAAAATCTGATGAAGCATGTGAATGAGATAATACTGGGAGCAAGATTCGAGCCATGCAGGGCAGGAACGGTAATAGGAACACCTATGCTCTTTCCATAATCTCAAGCGCTTAAAGCAAGCTCCAAGAGAGCAACAAAAGTGAGTTGCTTAGCAGTGTTTGATTTTCAAAGATTGTTGGTAAATAGTTCCATGCCAACAAAAATCAATTATGGACCAAGTGGGCAAGGCAGTGCAATATTGATACTTCAAGCTTGGGTAAATCAAGTCCTATATTATCCAGTAGCTTTCTATCAGTTCGCAGTAGAGCCCTGCCGTTATGAAAAAAGCTTGAATACTTTTTCTGATGTCACGTGACCCTTCAGAGAATGCTAATAAACCACTTGTGGCCGAAATGTATACAGTTCAAGTCACGGTATTGGTCAAGAGAACTGCTACCTGATTACCTTTATAGTCCCAAATAGAAAAAAGCCAAAAAACAGGTACAATAAGGATAAAGCATTTGCCGTTGATCAATCCCTTTTTGGGATGCGGCACGCATTCACTTCCATTTGTACATTCGTAGTGGCGTTTGAATGCGATGTGGCCTATACAATGACTTGCGGGGGCCAGCCGATGTACAAGTCAGTGTTTTTATCCTCCCAGACAAGTCTGGTACCAATTAACCGACCCCGGAGGGATGGAAGGCTTGGTTGGCCCGGGCGACTCACGACCCAGGATTTGATCCCCGGACCGCTCGCGTGGTAAGCGTGCCACTTGCCACTACACCACTTCCGCCCCTCAAACAGAATAATAGAAAAGAATAATTAACTGCATCAAAATGAATAGTTCAACGTCATCGAAACCGGGAACTTTCAAAAAAAAAACACTGTAATCCGTATAACGCTTCTATCGCAGTCAAGCATGGCATCGTAGGACTTCCCCTCTCCTCCACAACTCCACCATCATACGCAGCATTCCCCGTCCAGTCTCTAAGAGATCCCGTGAGCGAGTGATAGGTGGAGAGTGCGTCCCAAAAGTAGGTTCACCCCATTTATCATCGATATCTCTGAGAAAAAAATGAATGAATTCCCTCCCTGCCCAGGACAAGTCGGGATGTTGTTTCGAGGTACCCATTCACAAAATCCTTCGATGGGGTTTCGTTTGCTCGATTATGCGGAATTAGTCATTTCACAGCCAGCTAATAGTCGCAGTTGAGAACCCCTCCACATGCGTTCTTGACTAAGATTGTGTCTGTACAGATAGAACTACTAAGATTTCTTCTTTAAAACCACGCTCTTCTCGGGGCACTTACATGAACATAACGTTCCTTCGCTTTCTTCTTTGAATTTTGTTCGAAATTTGAAGTATACGAATGGGAATCGCTACTTTTGTGGTGCCAACTCAGTTTAGAGGACGTCAGTAAGCACTGAAGTACTTGAGATGTGTGATGAATTAGATTTGGGATATAGATTCGGGTATTACAAACGCTGGAGAGGCGACCCTCCGGCTTTTGTAGAACTCGAACTTCCTCACTGAACTATGACACCGTGGCCTGCGAATCCGCACATAACGATGAAGCGTGGCTTCTTTCTCAAATCCGGAATGAAAAAGGCTGAGGCTATGCTTTTGAGGCACTCTGTATACGTAAACGAAACGGTAGGCGATTGCAGATTTGTTGGAAAAATACACAAAATCCCGGAAGAAAAACCCTTCCATGCTCAGTCTTCATTATCATTTCCGTCCAGATCGTACTATACCGACCCCCTCTCCTTGGTTATTAGAACGAATGGCGCCTCTCTGGCCGCCATTAAT